GGACTAGTCCCGGGCCTTCCCGAGCCCCAGCAAATGTTGATGGCCCAAGGCAACAACATGCAACTAGAGAAGCCAACCAGAGGGCGGTGAAAAGACTTGCTCGCCTGGGTAAAATTGCATCCTCTGAACGGATCAACGCTCCGGCAGATCCCCGTGACACACACGCGTTCCCCCCGCCCAAACAAAAATAACGCTATAGCAACTTGACCATGTCTACTCGGTGAATTCTTTCATGTCCCTACCCCACTTATTCTTCTTTTTCCCACCCGCCTCATTTGCCCTACCTGCGTTCTGCAGGTCATCCAGCCCCGCACTGGGTCCCCAATCGCGGTCGATTGGAGACCTCAAGAAGGCGACCATCACATTCCGAAAGACGCATGATAACGTCTAGCCTATCAGTTTCTCTTCAGCGTGGAGCCGAATCATGCTGCGCCAAAGGCAAAGCAGTATCGGGGGGTCCAGGTCTTGATGCGCGGGGAGAACCTGTCGAACTGATCGGGCATTTTGTTTGTCACAAGTGACCTCCAAGCACCAGCGGGGAATTTTGTGTCAGCCGAACACAACACAACCCTACCTGGTCATTATCCTCAAGCTCACCACGTGAGCCAGAACGGTACAGTAGTCTTGTCGGATCGAATGATTTGCCCGTCCCCGAACCATCGGGCTCCGGATTCCCGAAGATTTTGGTTTTGCCCAGGTGTCGCTGGGCTGCCTCATCGTTGCGAGATCTCCGCCCCACGCATGACAAGACGGGCAATGCCCAAGGGCCTGTCATGTATGACCCGTCACCAAGGTCGATATCTGACGAGCGGACCATCTGAAGGCGTTGAACGCGTCTGAACGCCGAGTACGGTATGGATCAAGCAATCGGTTTGCCAGACACATGCAGACTCGCGACGTAAATCCTCTGCGTTATTCAGGACCCGGGTATACTACAGATGGAATCGATTCCGAGTGAATACTGTATACATTGTATCGGCCCTCCCGAAAGTGCGTTCCATGTTCTGTTGTAGACAGATTGGCTTTCGAACCCTACCCAGGAAGCTTATCCAGGGGCGGTTACCAACTCTAGTTAGCTTATTTTACATAGAAGCCAATACGGAAGCGCCACTGATATTGATAATAAGGTTAGACTTTCGGGCTTAGGGTTCGAAAAGCTGTCTCCAATAAGTACAATATAGAATGCTGTTGCGGGCGGACCTGTACCACAAAAATTACATAAGCTAACTACTGTACATGACTAGCAGCGGGCATTGACGGATACGGACCTCCGTTCCATACGGGCCTCCATTCTGCCCGTGATGCACGATGTAGCACCGATGCTGGTAAGAACCGACGGCATGGCGCGAGCAGATCTTAGCTTCCTTGCGTCATGAGTGGATATACTCTGGCAAGTACTAGTCCCCAGCACCGCGTAGAGGTGCCTGCCCATAGCTGGGGTCTCTCAGAACAGGGTCCTAAGAACAGAAAGGACCTGTTCATCTGGGAACGGTCCAGGGCACAAGTGATACGACATGGGGCCCGTGGCCATGTAGGGGATATCTCCGAAGAGAATGATACTAAACAGGCCCACCACTCCTGTCAGGGGCTATCTCCGGAGAGAATGATACTAAACAGGCCCACCACTCCTGTCAGGGGCTATCTCCGGAGAGAATGATACTAAACAGGCCCACCACTCCTGTCAGGGGATATCTCCGAGGAGATCGTACGACACAGGCCCGCCATTCCTGTGAAGGTGCACACTGTTGCGCTTGCGCATTCCAGTGAGTGTGGACAGGAAGCCTGGTCCTGGAGTGAACAGGACTGGGAGACGCCAGCCTTCTATCTCCAAGCGCTCCGGTCGCCCGGCAAGACCAACCGTGCAGCACTAGCATCCAGCCTCGCCAGATTTAGGTCAAGGACCATCATGTGGTGCAGAGGAAGTTCAAGAGTCGCCAAAGTGCCGGGTACGGTATCCGGTCATCTCTGCGCGTGCTCCCGCCTACCAAATGTCCAGGGGCACATGGTGACCATATACGAAGAGCAAAACCCGACTCTACGTCCCGAAATGACCGTGCCCTCTCAGGGTTCCGGCCCCAAGGCGTCAGGTCCTCAATCAAAGATGGGGCCGACTAGGGAAAAGAAATGTCGGCATAGACATGGCAGGGTGAAGATGTGCGCGACTGGTGGGACCGCGCCGTTGGTCAATGGGCGTCTCAGGTACACAGCGATACTTGGAAAACGGTTCCAGATCTGACCAGTGGGCTCAGTGGCGACCACCTGGAAACAGTTGGGCAACCGTGGTCCGACAGAGCACAGTGGCTACCGATTCCTTCTTTCGTCGTATTACTGTACTTTCCAGTTTCTATAGCACCGGTGCTCAGTACCCGACCGCTGTCGACTTGGTTAATCCACTAAGACGTCATTTTCCGAGTAATGCACTCGAAGCTGCTCAAAATTCACCTTGGGAAGCTTCTCGTCTTCCCGACCTTCAGAACGGACAATGCACCCCCTGAAACTCAATGGGACAAACTGGGATCATCGTGTATCACTAAAACCTGAATTCCATTACTTTGTATCGGCCTTTTTCATTAGGTCCACGTCTTATTGTCAAAATAGACAGAAGAGAGAGACCCTCGATGAGAGAAAAATCCACCTGCGCCCAGAGTGATTCCCGGGCTTTACAGTAACGTGTCACGGTAACAAGCGTGACCTCC